TGAAAAAATATGAAACATGACAGATTATGAAACAAACTTAAAAAATATTTTAATGAAAAAAAAGTCATGTTTAGACAATGTGTTTAAAAATCCCACAGAGGTGAACAGAAGACAAAACACCTTAACCCTACAACCTTCATTTCACCTATACAGCAGATATAAATATTGACATCGTAAATTTCTTCTTCATATATTTACATGTTTGCACAAGAAAATGCCATTTAAAACAGCTACCAGATATTGCATTGTTTTTACTGTGTATTAAAAAACAAAAAAAACACACCAGTCCAGGCCAAACTTCAGAGTTCACTCTGCTCCAAATATCTCAGGACAGTGTTTCTGGTTGTGGTATCTTCCCTCAGTTCAGATACAGTACATGTGCATCCAAGAGCAGCACAAACCACAGTAGATAAAAATAAAAACTCAGAGCAACAGATGAGAATTTACCAAAATATTATTTCTGAAAATACTTGAAAAGGAACTGAAAAACAAACAGTTGAGTACATATCTTCTTTTCACAATACAAAGCAAAAATGAAACAGTACAAACATGTTATGTTGGAAAACATAACAGATCACACCCACTATGACAACATTTTTGTTTCTGTTGATGTCCATTCACCAGATAATTTAACATAAATATAGTGATGTACAATAATCTGTTAAATAAACCAAACTAAAATCCTTCACCTGTATGTACAAAAGATGACTCTTTAGAAAAATATTATGAATTTAAAAACCATAGGTGGCATTATGTGAAGGAAAGTAGATGACCGTAATGCACCACTCCAACCAGGAACAATAGCACCTAACAAGACGACATTATAAAGTAACATTTAGCAAATCATTTATGAGCACATCTGTAGTAATTGGCTCTTTGTGTTTTATGAAGAAAACACACCTTTATCGGGATGCATGCTGCTGTAAGCACCCTGTCAGTTTTATTACTAATTAACACAGCCACAGGGAAAACAGAATCACAGCATAATACTACACAGTGTTACCACAAATATTTCATCAAAATAAACCTGACCTGAGATTCTAATTATGTTAAAAAAAACCAACAACTTCCCAATAACTTCTGCATCAGTGCAATCGCTAAATTCTTCAGTTAGGAATGTTGCTCAGCTGAACTCATGCCAAAAGACATAGAAGGTCCAGTCAACCAATCAGGTGACAGGACCAACCCGCTGCCTTCAAGCTCACCGAGTGAACTGCCTCCATGACAAAAGTAACTTCTGTAACAGTGCAAGTCTGCCCTGTAGCTTGGTGTACAGCTGTCTAAGTGTTCATACCCGTCGTTTTCATGCCACATACCAGCCGGGAGAGCTAAAGATAGCGCACCCTTCCACTCTGAAATATGAAAGGTGGGGAAGAAAGCCAGACAAACCAGCGAAACTACAAAACTACAGAAACTCCACCCTAAACAGGGAGAGCAGGAGTGAGCTGTGCAGAAGCAGTTCCTTCAGTGAAGGTTCTGGTGTGTGGGTATTTGAAAAGAAACGGTGCAATCCACATGAAGCCAAGCATTCCTACACAACCTCTTTTTTTTTTTTAAATAGCAAAAACATTCAATTGACGTCGGTTAATAGTAGGATACCGTATTACGTCTGTAAAGGTAAATAAAAAGAAATCTGAAGGCAACCACAGCTGTCAGCCAATCTAGGTGAAAGGTGAGGCATTGCAGGCACTGATTCATCTGTAAAAATCCTCAGGCGAGACAAGAGGGACGAATGGCACTAACCGACGCCCGTTCCTTTCATTACTTCTGAAAATTCAAGGAAACCGAGGATCGTCCGACGTTTCGCCTCCGATTAAACAAAGCATTAGGATTTAAATATAGCCACCGCTGCCAAATATCAACGATTTATTTTGTCATTTTCGGTAGCGTCGCAGTAAGAGATTGGAAGGACGTCGGCTTTACAGATGTGAGAGGTTCTCAGCCATGTAAGAGAGGCTGTAAAAGTTGCAGCCAATGCAGCAGAGGTTACATAGAGACGACAGCAGCCGGTACACCCACAGGCGCCTGCAGAGGTGCTTGTATTTCACGTCTGACTCGCGCAGCTTGGCGTAAGCCTCGCGGTTCGACGAAAGTCCAATATCCTGACCCAGGCCGCATGCCTGCTCGATAAGATGCATGTCGGCCATTATCTCTGACGTCATTTGGCCAAACCACTGAGCGTTGACCGTCGCGACCGTCACCGACACAAAGAAGATGAAGATCTGGAGACGAAACATCGGGTTTATGAGGAAAAGAAAGGCGAGACAAGCACATCAAGGAAGACAAGAAATCCACTGCAGTTTGTGGTTGTAACATGACAAAGAGTGAGAGTAGAATGGCTATTTTTGTAAAGTATTGCATAAACTCATGTAGGGAAAAAACCACCAACATACCTGAAACGATTCCCTGTCATCCAGTATGTCTCTAGGATGATACACAGCGTAGATAGAGAGGTTAAAGAAGGCACAAGCTGAACCCAGGTGGAGGTAGAACGGAACCAGACGACTCTGAATGAACCCGTAGGTGTGTCTGTTCAGATTGTTGTCCATTACAAAGCCTAAAGAAATTACAGTTTTTCTCTTAATAGTTCATACTTGAACGTCATTGATAAGATCATTCTCAACATTAACGGTTTCCGATTTGTGGCATTGAAGGTGATCGTCAAGTGTTTTATTTAATCCATCATCATGACTGACAGTATTTCTAGACTACTTTTAAGAAGCTGCTGTTTTGTGGCCTGCAAGAGGTTCCTTCATTCTTCACAACTTAGCTCGATGGTTTACAAGGAAACTTTAACATCTTACTCTTTCGCTTGTTATTTTCTACTTTCTTTATAACGAATCAATTAGGACGACAGCTTTAAATGTTCACAATGTGGCATGTCAAGATAATGAAAAAGCCCATTTATTTCAGACTTCATTACAAGGCTTTATCCTTGCAGACGTTATCAGAAATGCCCTACATAAGCTCAAATAACAAGAACAGAGCTTCTTTCTTCCTCTGGTTCTGGTGGAGCTGGATCAGATTCTCTTACTTTTATCACGCATTCAGTGTTTTGTTGTTATTAAGGTGTACAGTTGGCATAGCAGGCTGTTTATACCAACTGTACCAAAGATGAATTATTTTCTGGAAGAAAAAATTCATTTTTGCCAAATATTTTTGATGAATATATATGTCCTAAACACACACACACACACACACACACAAAAAACAAGACTCAATCTGTCCGCTTGTGTCTGCCAAAGATATACCGTAAACTCTGAATTTTCATCCAACAGCTTCTTCCATGACTGCTTTTGAAAGTGCCTACTTTTAAAAACAACCTGACTTGTCACAGCAATTCAATATTTCTTTTTTGCTATGAGAGCATCTCTGGTGCTACAGATGTTTCTTCTCGCACACTTGCGGATCACGCAGCGGTGACGGAGAAAGCGTCGCAAGGTGGAAAGTCACAAGACAAAGTTTTCGCAGGCTGCCTTTTGCAGAAACAAACAGAACCTCAAGTAATTAAGTAACTATTTTTACACAAGTGTGTCCGCTACTTCTAGTTTTTATTGTAAACTATAAATTTTTCACAGTTATTTTGTGATCCGACACTTTATAAACAAACATTAGCTGAATCCGATTTACTGTCCAAAACTCGCGCTGCAAACGCTGCGGGGTTCTGGTCCCATCGAAAAAGCGATTCGCTTTGCTGTTAACATTTGACTTGCATGCCCTGCTTGTGTGTGGTACCTACTCGAAATAAAAGTGACCCAAATCTGCATCCCCCAGTAAGTGGAGAGAAGCAGCAGCTGCAGCAGCTTCACGGTGTAGGTCGGCTCCTGGTCAGTCGCCATGACGTTCTCCACAACTTCTCACCTCTCTGGTCTGTTTTCAGTAAAGCAAAAACAAAACAAACAAACAAACAAACAAACAACAAACAAAAAAAAAACAGTCCAGATATACAGGTAATGCCTCCTGACCCAACCTTCCTCAACTCCAACCTTACTCCTTTTGTCATGAGGAATAATGTCCCTAAAGGTTGGAGGATAGCTAACAAGAGAGAACAAAAAAGACTGTAGACTCAATACGTCACTAGAAATGTATAGTCTGTCTAGCTTCCTCATGTTTCAGAGACATTTCTGTCAATGAATCCATTTGAAACTTCCGCCCTGTTGTCAAGGTAACAGGCTAGCAAGGTTTGACCTCACCTAACGTGCGTCAGACTCCAAGCTAGCCAAGAAGATCACTTGAATTTATTTTTACACTCTGAAACGTAAAAGACAAATAGTTTTGAACACGCTACAAAGAATCCTTACAGAAAGCAGTCAATACTTTTATGGTAAATTAGTAAAATGTCTTCAAATTCTACCTCTTCATCGTCGTGGCTAATTAAAGAAGCAGCTCGATGTCGAGCAGAATAATAAACTCCACTAACCAGCAGCTAACAGCTAGTTGACTTAGTTTAAAACAACTCATTACAAGCGGAGTCGTAATGGCTCAGGGAACGCGTAATAATAGTTAAGCTGCAACAATAAAGTACAGCTCGGTTTACCTGAGTTGTAAAAGTTGTCAGGAGAAATCTGTCCGGTCAGAAACTAAACTCTCCTCACTCGCCCACAGCCTAGTTCGCTCCTTCTGCTCGCTGCTGTCACACCGGCTCAGGGAGCGCAGCCTCCTCTTCTTCGTCTCCGGGGTTTGTAGTAGTTTTTAATCCAATCATGTTGCATTACCGCCCCCTGTCGCGTCATCCGGTCACTGTCCCTTTTTTCTAATAGTCGAAATTAACCGACCACGAGTCTTTATAGCTTCTCAGATGGACTTGTTCTTAAGTCTGTCATTATTTTTTTTTTTTATAAAACAGAACAATTCAAATTTGCAAAAAAGAAAAAGAGGACATATGATTATGATGTCATCAAAGGAGGAGAATTAACTTTATTATAAAATATATTTTTATTTGTTTGATTCTGACATGAAAATAATAATTGTTTATTATTATTATTATTATAGAAACCATGTAATGAAATGTATTTTATTATGGATCCAAATCGGCTCTGCAAAGACAAAAAATAGTCATGCCTTTTTTTCCATGTTGTACAAGAAGTTCGTCACTGTACCAAAATAAGAACTAAAGTGTAAAAAATAGTAGTTTGACAATAAAAGGTGTATCCTCATGTGTAGGAAGTTTGTTTTGGTTGAACCATTCTAAGAAGGGTAGCTGGTTTTGGTGGTGCACAGCACCGTGGTGTACCGCTGGCGTGGGAGCAGAACAGAACTCGGGCTCAGTGGCGGGCAGATTTACTGATTTTATCGTAAACCTCAGGGAAAGCTTCCTTACAGCCCAGCTCGACTCTTAGTTTGTGGTACAACTGTCCATTGAACATCTCCCAAAACTCCTCTCGATCCATGTACACATCCGCATACAGCATCTGGAACCTGCAGAGGAGCATTTGAAATGCAACAACAGAATGTCAGGTGTTGCATGGAGCTATCGATTATTTTAGATTATTCAGACGATTAATCAATTGATCGCACGAGGAAAATTGGCATGTTGCAGATTTTTTGTGTAGCTACAAGATTTTTTAGACAATAATAGAAATTGATACATTTTTGCATTAACCATTCAATAAATGGATAGAGAACGGTGCATAACAGGAGCTCTCTAAGCTAAACCAGCCATTTGAGGAGTTCTGAATAAGAAAGATTTTTTTTCTTTTTATCTTCAATGCAAATGTACAATTTAACTTCTTTTTTATGTTTATGTATGTTATCCTTTCAGCAAATGGTTTTGACATTTAATCCAGTTAATCAATTGATTACTAAATTAGTTGACGATTATTTCAATAATCACGATTAATCCGATTAATCGTTTCAGCCCTGGCCGCATGCGTTTCAAGTTTTGGCTTTCAGATAGGAAGCTTACCCATGCACGTCTCTGACAAACTTCTCCAGCTGACGCGTCGACGCCTTGGCTTCGAAATGTTTGACCTTCGGCTCGCCGTACGCTCCGATGTCCACGTACAGCTCCTCCTCCTCCTGGGCCTTGGGGTGGACCATCCCCCTGCCGGGCGGCAGCAGGAACGGGCACAGCCACAGAGGGTAAACCTGGGGCGAAAAAGCACAAGTTGCTCTCATGATTCAAGCGAGACGCAGTTCATCATGAACAGAGTGCACCGTGACACGCCGATCAATATTTTGAGTCTCACATTGATTTCCTGGTGAAAGCGAGTGATGGCCGCCTGCAGATGCTTCATGGGTACCAGCATGTCCTGGACCACGTGGTGCTGCTCGTACAGCCGTCTAATGGTTTCTCCCTGGGTGAGTTTCAGCAGGGAGATCTTAGGAGGAACCATCCATCCAAAAAGCCAGCGGAACACGGGGTTATTGCCAAATGGGATGATGTCCTGTAAAAGAGGCACAGACAACAATAGCTTTGAGCTGAGATATAAAAGTTTAGCTGCTACGATCAGAAGCCGGAAGGTAACTATCATTAGCTTGTAACGACGTGTTTTTTTTTTCTAATGGGTGAAATAAATACAAGACAATCAACTTTGGTAGTTATTGTGCATTACCTTCCAATCCACGCAGGGTCATAATTCTAAAATTATAATTATATAATTATAATTATACCTGGAAACTACACATACAATCTCACAAAAGTGTTGTCCGTGAGCAAGCTGCACCTCAACGAGCTTCTGGGATCATTCTGGTGGGATATTCGATCATCCTTTTTGGCAGAAATGGCGGTAGTTCATTTCGATGGGTTGGGTGTCTGACAGGGATCTGGCTTTTAGGTACAGCCAATATATTTCAGCGTGGTTCAGCTGGAAAACCTTTAGATGTTACGACGACTCCAAACTCGCTACAAAGCTGGTTTTGAAATTGATTTAAAAAATAAAAAATAATAATAAAAAAGAACTAATTCATATTAACTTTTGAGTCAAATCAGAGCCAGGAAGCTCATGTCAGTGTTAGCATCTCAGATACGAAAAGCAGTCAGCATTCACTTGGTAAAGCCAATTCTTGGTTTTACATGAGTGTAAGACTCACACTCATGTTCATATGTTTCTTTATGCCTGAACCACTCCCTTGTAAAGCAGACTATCGGAGATTTATCTGATTCATTCATACACACGGCCACAAGGACAAACTCTGAAAGAGTCCCTGGGTTCTTCTGTCCTTCTACAGTTTTTCTAAATTTCCACCAGAGGGCAGCGCAAAAACAACAACAACTTCGGTCTGAGGCTATCAAATTCAACACCTGAATGATTTCCATCTCAGACTGCCCTATTTCTGTCTGCATTTCAAGTGAAATGTAAATAGAGACAAGCTCCTTAAAAAAATAAAATAAATAAAAATCAAAAGGCAGCAGACTAATGCTCAGAGGACTCTACCTTAGGGATCTGTCAAACCAGAACTATGCATAATTCATCAGGCCATTTACTGTTACTGAAAACACCACTGTCAGGCTATTCTCACTAATGGCTAATGGGGTGTGTGCACGGTGTGTGTGTGACTGTGGGACTGGTGGAGCAGTAGAGAATCAGGAAACTAGGGGGAAGTGAGCAGGCGAGTTGTTAAAATAGTCTAAGCTCCTGGAAACAGGGATTCTGTGCGACTGGGTGGACATGTACATCAGTTTATGGTTAATATGAGACTCGTTATGTCTTTGTTGGGCCCTAAACATCTGGACTCTATAAGCTGGACTAATGACACTCCAAAATAGGCTGACAAAATTAATAACTGTTTAAATCAAAGAGATTTGAAGGCTTAAAGGGACAGATTCAGGATATGTTAAAAGTAAACAAGTAGTTAGTATATGTGGTGGGCTGGAACAATTAATCAGATTAATCAATTATCAAAATAATTGTGAACTAATTGAGTAATAGATTAATCTTTGGTTGCGACACAGAGGAAAAAAATCGGTGTATTTTATTGCATTTAATGCAACTCAATTTTATGAATTGGCCTAAATGAAAATTCTGCAGGATGTGCTAATATTTCATCCGATTAATAAATTAATCGTCAGAATAATCAATTAAGGGGACATTAATTGATAACTAAAATAATCATTGGTTGCAGCTCTGTCTTATTAAACACAGTAGCTGGCTCTTCATTCGGTGCAGATCCCAGAGGGTGAAGCTCACGGCTGGTTCAAGAGGAGCCAAGAGCAAATTGTGTTCCTGTCATCTCGAAACAGCTTTACCGTCAGATACATCACAGCGGTTAATGCCAACGCTTTTTTACGAATCTATAAACTGACGTCACATTTCCATTGACCGGTTATCTACACCAAAACTGATATTTATTTACCTGGGAAAAGTAGGTTGGAGGCAGTGCGTCAACAATAACCTTCCTACGTGAAATGAACAGACAGTCGGGTATGTAAAATAGAAAATAACTATCCTAAGAGCAAGTGTTGTAAAAATCAAAAATATAGGTGTGCTGGCACAGGTTCAACTCAAGAGGTATACACACACACAGACACAAAGTCTATCTGAGGACTTGTTATCTGTAATATATGCCTGTCCCATCGCTTTAAACTTTACTGCCACGCCTTCCTCGACTATTTAAAGTAGAACAATAGAGACTCCTGTCCTAAGTATAAAAACTAAAAGGACAAGGTCATTGATTTTGAAGCCTCTAGGAGTTTTTCAGTAGCAGCTGAGACTTTTTCCAGTAAGATGCTTCCTCGGGTAAGTACACCTGGAAAAGCAGCAGTCAGAGTTTTTCCCCAGCAAACAGAATTTCAAAAAGGCAGACATTAATTTATTAAGGAGGTATACCAACCATTTCATAGTTTAAAAGACCACTAATGGAGTGGTAATGGACTCCTTCAAATGCTTGGATTCATTTTGCTTTCTGATGATGAAAGCATTTTTAATATTTGAAATGGGGCTGCTTTGGAAATTTGCTACATTTGCAGTGAGGGTCAGGTTGCCAGTACTGAGAAATTACATAATCAATAGGCTAATTGGTGAATGACATCATAGTAATCAATATAAAGCTTCATTTCAAACAAAACCAGCCTAGCTCAGGATGTTTGGGTGGTGAATTATTAATAGTAAATAGTAAACTCAGTGACGCCAAGATGGAGATTTCTCACTTTTTCACCTCGACTCAAAAATCCTGAAATTTCCATTTAAGAAACAGAGAAGCGGTTTGAACTCTGTCCCTGAGGGGAAAGCGTCATGTAGAGCACTTTTTATTTAATTCTCCAACAAAACAGCTTTAGCCTACGACATAAAAATAATAAATGAGCAGCTGCGGCTTTACAATCTATGTTATTTTCTTTGATTACAAGCTGATAATGGGAGGATTTATTGGATTTAAACCAGAGGATCAGGTGATTAATCAAATAATTGGAATAAAAAGTGGCAAACAATACAGATTCTTCCCTTAACAACTTAAGCCTGTTTTATGCAATCTTAGAAATACATTAAAAGATGCAAATAAACAAATAACTCAATTCAAATATATATGTGTGTATATATATATATAATTTTTTTTTTTTACATAAAATGCTATAATAGAGCATTCCTTTAGATAAATTGAACTGGGTAGAGCTAAAACTAGGCCTCTTGAGGAACTTTGCAAATTTAAAATACACACACAGACAGTCAACAATTACTGTTGCTTATATGTTGTTCTTGAGCAAGTGACCTTATTTAGTCTGAATACTCTAGTTGATGATTGATCGATTACTAAATTACTTGACGATTATTTATTTGTCACGATTAATCTGATTAATCCATTATAGATTTGATGCGATGAAGCTGAAGGTGGGGCTACGGGGTTAACGTTAGCAGCCAAGTGCTAAAAAGTGAATAATAACGAGCGACGTGCGTGTACCTGAAGCTCCCAGAAGATGCTGCGCGTGTGTCGGTGGTAGTAGTGCCTCAGAGGGATGAACTCCACGCCGCCGTGGCCTCCTCTCAGGTAGCTCTCCACGTGCTTAAAGAACCAGGGTTTGAAGTGCAGGCCGATTCTGTTGATCTGTCGTCCAGGATCAAGACGCGACATCAGACGCGGTCAAAGACGTGGCGGCGGATCTGCCGACGCCGGCGCCTCACCTTGTCCGGCTCCGCGTGGTCGGTCATGGTTCCCGTCATGACGACGGCCGAATCCAGGCTGTACTGGATGCCCTCGACGAACGTGTTCTGCTTGTCGGCAGACGCCTCGGCGAAGCGTCGGCAGATGTTCTCCAGGCCTCTGACGGGCTCGTAGCGCAGCTTCACCCAGGATTTCGCCGGGACTATTTTAATCTCCGCTGCGACCAGGAATCCCAGAGTGCCACAGGACCAAGGCACGGCGTGGAACAGGTCAGAGTTCTCCTCCTGTTTGGGCAAAAGCAAAAACCCACATTGTCTTGGGAAAGAATGCGCACTCCTTTTACCACTTCATATGTTGTCACACTACAACCACGCTGTTTGTTTGTATGCATCAAAAGCGTAGCACGGATTTGTATTCATTCCGACACCCCCAAATGAAATCTAGTGTTGTTAATTCCCTTTAGAAGTCGTCTCATAAGAAAAACAGACTTTATCCATGACGAAAGGTTAGCAAGGTAATCTGGCCGCATGGCACCAAAGTCAACTTAACATATTCATGTGTTTAAATGGCCTAGTCAAAGAACAGTCAAATCTAATCAAGAATCTGTGGCAAGATTTGATGTTTGCAAGCCTTCTCCCTCCAGTCAGACTCAGCCTGAGACATGTCATCAAGAAAAATGGGCTTCCATTGAATACAAACACATGCCGCACTTTTCAAATTTTCATAAGGAAAAATAGGATTCGACATCAAACATGTGCTTCATTTGGTGTGATGTGAAGGTCCATCATGTAAAAACCCATCAGAATAAATTTTCCTATCAAATTACTAATTGGTTCATTCAAAAAATAAAAAATTAGCCCTACTGTATTGACATTAAGTCAATAAGCACAAAGGGCTGAACCTTTCACATGTTGATGTTAGATGTGTTTTGATCGCACATTCACTAAAAGCAATGCTGCTTTATTGAATTTTAGGCAATAAAATTCAATAAACCCTAAGAAAATAAGTCTTTTCTTATTTATTTGCATCTCATAATGTAATTCTAATATTGTTTTAAAAAGATTTGGGGGCGGGGAGATAATCGGTCGATTGTGCAAATTTTTTAAATAAGATTAATCATCAGAATAATTGATCGATTAATCAATACTGAAAATAATTGTCAATTGCAGCCTTAATTTTTATTGTTATTATTGTTCTCAGACTGCTTCGTCAGCTTTCTAAAAAAAATAAAAAATAAATGATGATTACATAAGACAGGTGTTAAAAAGCTATAATTTTGACCTCAAATATTGTTTTTGTGACCAAAGCTCAGAAATTTGTGATGCAATAACAAAAACATTATCTAAATCATTATCTTTTCCCTCTGAATGGCTGGACTGCTGTAGGATTTACGGCCTTTGGACTCAAACCGGTGCAGTATGTACCTCTGTGCAGCGCACCAAGCTGCCGTCAGCAAGGACCAGCTCGTACGCGACACATATGTGTTGAAAAAGCCCATAAACGTGGGAGGAAGACTCGATGCCTGTGCCCATCACCAGCCCACCTGAGAAAGAAAAAAAATGTAAATGCTCTACGGTAATTGAATTTCTGCCCGGGTGAGAGCAACAGGGGGGCCAAACAGACGAGGAGATAACAGCATTCGCCTGCTGCGAGCGCGTTGGTCTGTGGACAGCGGGATAAATGAATGTAGCACGGCCTGATGGGAAAACATTAGATCGCTGATGCGTAGATTATGGCATCAGGAAATCCATTATGAAACTCTATCCAGGGGTGCCTCCACGCTGCTGCGGCCATTTCCTCCGGGTTTCATATTCCGAGCTGCAACGCCAGAACCTTTGCCCCCTCATTCCCCCCCCCGCTCTTCTAACGCAATTAGAGGAGCAGCCGTGGCTCTGAACAGGATGCACTGATTGATGGCGTGTTTGCAGATCTCCATCTCGCGCATCAGCTGTGGAAATCACAGCGCGATGACGGATGGGTTATCTAGTTTGAGGAAAGGGGAAGGAGAGAAATGAAGCCACACCGAGATGATTGACCTAAAAATAATGTGACGTGCGCTCGCCTCACCCACTGTGAGATCGTCCAGCTCCGGCAGCACCGGCAGCGTCCAGCCGATGGAGTTCAGCAGAGCGGTCACTTGACCCATGTTGGCCAGAGGCTCCACTCGCACCACCTGCACATGAGACACTCATGAGTAGACAAAATAAATAAATAACCTTTTAACTTGTCTTATTGCTTTTCAGAAAACACTAACTCTTTGAAGTTATTGTTTGTCAATTTTTTATTTTTTTGGACAAATGTATATCTTTTACTTCTCTCTGTTTGACAGTAAATCAGATGAACATTTCTTTGTTTCAGGTCAAAAGCATCTAAAAGTACTTATAAGCAGAATTCTGCTTTGTTACTTTAACTACTATGCCTTTAAGGATTATTTTTAATAAGGTCATGATTTTGTTAGTAGTCTGCTAATGTTTTCTATGGCAACACCTCAAACACAACATTGCCTTCTGTGATAGAATGGGAAAAAATAAAAAATAAAAAATCCATGGAAACAAGGTGTGACGTCTGGAAGAATCAAATTGACCATGACAAGTTCATTTTCTGGTACAATTTCTAAATGCTTAGAGGTACATCTGCTCAAAGAATCACACCTAAGAACAAAGAAAATGTTCAGGAAGGACGAGTTGTGTTCCCCCCCTTATCGAAGGGTCTGGTGTGTAGTTAGTTATGACTGAGGGTTTGAATGAGTCAAAATGTTGATTGCAAGGAGCTTCGGGAGTTCAGCAAATCCGAGTGAATGGAGGGAAAAATAATAATCTCCTGTCTCTTGTTTTCTCCTACCTGCCTCTTTGTGTCCACCTCCAGAATGTCCATCATATTGATCATAATGTTCTTGTGGGTCTTCTTGTATTTTCCCACTCTTAGCGACACGGTGAGCCAGCCGGGTCGACCGGTACACATGTAGGTCCCACCGCCGTTCTTCCTCCACTCACGTACCTGTGTGTGACACAGAATACAATTCCTTTTGCGGTATTGTGTACTGTATAGGGAATTCTGCTTATGTACTGTAAATCTTAGCCATTGAATTCAAAGGATACAAATGTTCCAAGTCAAGCAATGTTGGGGAATGTGGAGAAATTACAGCTGCTTAGTGCCCCCTGCTGGTATGGAGGCTTAAGAGCAATTTAATTTGCACTAAATGGTGTATTTAGGTCACAAAGAAAAACCTTCATAAAGTTGGCGTAACCATATGTGCGCTAACTTAATAATAATAAATGTAATTCACAATGTGATAGTTAATCAGCGACAATCTAAAGTAAGTATGGGTTCATATTTTACCAATCCCTACTTATTAACAAAACATAAAATTTTGAAACTCCCAATAAATTTTCTTAAACCGAGTTGTAGTTGCACTGGCAAGTCAAATATTGTGCTTGGAAACAAAACAAGGACCCCCTCTAAAATCCGGATTCTGATCGGGAAAGAAGGAAATCACCAATCAGACTCAAGCTTGGAATCCAATATTGCTGCAGCACACGCAAAACGCGCAGGTATAAACACTTCTGATACGTCTCATTAAGTCTGTGGCGCATGTATCGTTCTACCATCACTATATCGTGAGCATGCCGCTTTGATTTGACGTCAGAAAATAAATGAATTTATTTATTCATTTATTTATTTTTGGTATGTATCGCTAACGGAGGTAGCACCAAAACATATAGCAGCTTTGACCAGTTTTCCAACCAAAAAAACAACATAAGTCCCAAAGCCAAACGGAATCAAAGCTTAGCCGGAAGTGCCCCCCTTCCCCCGCCCCCAAATTCCATTCTACCAAGGTCCCCATTTTGTCTTGGTTCGCCCCTGGTTCAAATCCCGTACAAACTGCATATTATATCCACTACTGCTGCAGTTCAGATCAGGAGACTACAAATCCAGCAAGCGCGTTGTCGTGCCAGAGTGTCGTGATGATGTTGATGACGTAGCCCCCGCCCCCAGCTCACCTGTCGCTGGATGTCCCGCACGCGCTGGTCGTGCAGCTTCGGTGCCGAGCACATCTTGAAAATGAGCCACGCTCTCACGTAATAATACACGTCGAATACGACCGAGAGGGGCAGCAAGAACAAGCAGACGAAAACCCAGCGCTGGTGGACGATGACGTAGTCCAGACCTTTGACTCTGACCCAGAGGAGGAAGAAAACCAGCAGGGCTCCGAAATACCACAGCGGGCTCATCGCGTCAGGTCGGTTCGGACGCCGGTTCTGATGGACGCTGCAGCCAAAACCCCAGTTTCAACTTTTAACACACTCCCGACTCCTGACCAGGTAGGTGGGCTTCAAACTCCGCCTTTTTTCAAGGCTGATTGGTCGAGAGTCGGTACAGGGCGGGGCTCGTTCTCTCAGGTTGTATCCTATTGGTTAACCGTGCGGCCGGAGGGCGTGGCCGAGGGAGAGCGCGTCTGTTGATTGGCCAGTCGTAAGGCAGACGGGCTCTCACACCACGCTGTCTGCCCACATGGAAACAGAGTCAAGGCTGTTTAAAAAAAAAAAAAAAGTTTGACAATCTGCAACATCACTAACTGAAGCATCTTTGCTTCAACTATGTCCTTTTCCCACCATTTTTTTCCTCATTTTCAGAGAATTTCCAACTGAACGGCTGTATGCAATTTGGGAATCGGTGAAGAAAAGGAGGAAACTCTTAAATTTTCATTTTATTCACTTGCAGCTGTAATGTGCCCAGCTGTGCAAGGCCAGGTCCAGAAGACCTGCCATAGTGGCTGCGGAGAAAGGCGGCTCAACACGGCACAGCCTCCTGTTGGTTTGTTTCTCGGATAAATTCCCAGCAAAACAAAGCTGACAAATGTAAAACTGTCCAAGGAGCGCAAATGCTTTCGCCAGGCATTGTGGGACTTATTTTCTCTTTACTTAAGACAGGGTGCACTTTGTAAATTCCTCAAACCAAATTAGGGTGCAGAGTCGTGACGCCTCGCGACGCACTTTGCTTGAAGAATACAGCCAGTTGTTCTCTACATCACATCCATTTGTGCTCAGAAAAATAGCTTCGACCCGCACTCTTTCACTCTCTGTCCCTCTTCCTGTCTCTCATCCCCTCTTGCAGACACACACGCAGGCTAAAGTGGTACCCTTCGGACACATTAGAGGGAGGGTGGGGCGCCAGTAAAGATTTCTTAATGGGCTCTGCCGTCCTCTTGTCCATCTGGCTTGATGATAAACACACAGCTGCTCAACATTAGCCTGATGCGCATTAGAGCGTCCAACATTTTCATTCTTCAATGCATTGTTGGTTTGTTTCGCAACAAACCAACAATTTGGAACCGAAGAGGGACAGTGAACACATGGACTAAAAATGATCGGCTGTGTCTCAGCACTAATGGAGATGGAAGTGATGGAGACCAAGCAGTGAGATTTAGGAGGACTCGTCTCGTCGGGGTTGCTTGTAAATCGCTTGGATCTCTGGTCTTCGTCAGAGTGCACAGGGGGGCCGCGCTCTGTGCTACTGTTTACATGTGAATGACACCATCCAGCCGGCCCCAGCCCAGCAGAGAGCTCAGAGACGGGTTGGAGTCCTGCGGGGAGATGCCTTCCCTGCACCACGGAGCAATCTTCGTCGGAGCCTTCCTCATTGTGACCGGGGGCTCCACAGCCTTCCTGGCCTCCTACCAGAGCCGCCTGCAGGCTTTCTCGCTGTGCTGCGTGGTGCTGGGGGTGGTCATGCTCATCCTGGGACTCTTCTGGGCCATGAACAGCAAAAACGTGGTGAACTACAACCAGCGGGACTTCGACCCGGACTGTCTCCATTACCCTTACAACGACTACTCCAACTACTCCAGCCATGCTCTCTTCTCTCCTCAGCTGACTCGGTTCCCAGAGTCCCAGTCCGTGTTTCTGCCCAGGTGGGTCAACGAAGAAAAAAAATAATAAAATAAGAAAAAAAAATGCTGTCATTGTAAATATTGATTGTTTTTTGACTACTCATTTTATTATCTAACTTACTTACTATGTCTTTTGGTTGAATCCCAAGAGAAAAAAACAACAAAACAAAAAAAGCATCACTTTTTAAACACCTTGGCTTGTTTGTTGCTGCCCTTTTAATGAGGGTTCAGATTTCAGTTTGCCAAGGCGATGAAATTTGCCGCCTGACTGTTCACTCCCTAAAACCACTTCTTTCACTCTACAGAACACAAACATTGTCCTGAGAAATGTTACAGATGCCGGATCATTTCACCCATCCTATCTGTGTGTGTTCCTGTTGAGCCTGTGGCTGTGTTTCCTCTGAATATTATTGTTTCTAGTATCTTAAAATTGCTTGATGCTTCTGAAAGAGTGAATAACTAATTAAAACATTCTTACCTAGGCTGCTTAAACTCATCCAAAGGTCTACCAACGGGCATTTGTGATCTATGACTTCCTGTTTCCCCAGGCTATAAATAGGACCAGATGCAGAGGCGCATTTCTCTTAGTCACTCTCTAAAATGGGAAACATAAGTGAACATGCTGTTGAAGAAAAGCAGACGCATGTTGATCTTCATAAGTCAGGGAGTGGCTATGTCGCATTAGTTGGAGCTAAAGCTGCAACTTCAACTTGATTGGTTTGATTTGGTCGGGTAAATCTTTGGATCTTCCATGTTCCCACTGTCGAGAGCACACTGGAGGATCAGTGATCCAAAGGCCCTGGGAGCCTGGTTGGAGTGGATAGCATCACACAAGAAATGTGACACAAGAAATGTGAATTTCATAAATCTAGTAGTTTTTGCCAGAAAACTCAAACTGGACCATAGTAGGGGCATTTCACTAAATAGAAAAAATGATTGTTTTTAATCCCTAAGGACTACAGAGGAGAACTTAAGAAAAGTTATAGGAGAAGACTCCAGAAAGTCCTGCCTAATTGGCAATATCTACAAGTTTGACATGTGTATAGAAAAGGCACCTTTACTGTTTATGTTTCACACGATTGTTCTCAAAATGACTTTTTCTGGCTGTAGGACGATGGAGAGCCAGAGGAACGCTACTCATCGTGAAGATTTCGACTATCCACCCATGGACTGTGGTGGGTTAAGCCCAGCACCTCGCCCTCCACCCTGGCTGGAACCCCCGCCTCCGTATGAGGTTGCCATCAAGACCACCTGTAGCTCTACACACCTGCGGCGTGCATATTCAGACACACACCTGGCATCAGAGCCCTTATTTGGACAGTCGAGAGAGATTAGCTTTGAGGTGTGACACGCCCTCTTCTAAAACGGGCACAAATTTGATGCTAGCTCCTGCCTTCGCGATTCATTTGAAGCCTACTTCTTGCTAGTTTACTGCATGTTTTTTCTACAATAAATACCTTAAACATGATAAAGGTATTATGGGCCAAATAAAGCATTGTAAGCCGATGCATGTTGCTCTTCATAAGCCACGAAGATCAACATGCTAGCAAACAATTTCAACAATTTGCTAGCAAACACTGAGCTAGCTTAAATATCATCCTTACATTCCAAACTGAGTACTACGTTGTTTTTCTTGGGATCATTCTTGGATGATTTGTATCATAAACATGTATTAGAGGCAATATTATTACAAATTAAGTATGAGCTGAGAAGCAGCCACAGCATGTTAGCCTAGCTTAGCAAAACACAGTGATGAGGTGAGTTTTAATGATGGCCGAGTAACAAAAGGTTAACCAACCCAATTAATGGTGACATGCCTACTGAATTTCTTTTTTTTTGTTGAAATCTTTTTTACTGAATATCAATTCTAAACCAAGACTGTTCACCTCTATTTGCATGAGGCTAAATCATTTAAACGGGGCAAAGCATCAATCATACATACCACTGAGCTTTGACATAGCTTAAACAATTAAAAGTAAGAAGTTACAGACCTTAACTTCTCTGACTGAAGCTATGTTACTGTTATTTAAGCTTAATGTGTGTTTCTAAAACTGCGATGTGTAGGGAAGAACAGAGATTGATTCACTTTTGGAGCTAGATTTAAGGGGACATTTTGAGGAAATGCTTTTTATTTGATCCCTTTCCCAGTCTAAAAGTGGATCTCAAAAGGCTATGCCAAAAGTTTCAAGATTTTGTTGCGTATAATGCATTGTCCGGTGTTTTCCCACGTACAACGTGCTACATAGCCATCACAATTGAACTGAAAAAGTAACAGATTTCCTCGAAGTGGGCAGGAAAACGATAAAAGATGCAATATTCTGGTTGCACATGTGCAACCAAGCTTTTTATAGGTATTATTTGAAGCTTGTTTTGACTCAATTTCAGCATTTAGTCTTTTGCATAAGTCTGTCAGCATCTCAACATATTTGCCCACTCTACCTTCTTATCCAGCTAACATTTTCAGAGTCTCTCAGATTGTCCACTGCTGCCTTGAGGCGACCCAACTCTCTTCCTGACAAGTTTACTTCTAGGTTTTGGCTTACCCATTCCAAATCTTTTAAGCTTCATCTCATAAAACATTCGTATTCGTTGTTTTGGATTTGGATGTATATTTTGGTGTGATGAGGGGTTATACTGCCAAGCTGAGACTGACCACACTTACACTTTAAATCAGCAACCAAGCAGTTTGAGGATTTCCAGAAGCACATAGATCAAATGTTGGATAATGAATGTAAAGAAAACCAAAGATGTTGATTAATGGCAATCAACAAAACTTGCCTTTTTTTAATTATCTCTCTTCAAATCAAATCGAAACAATCTCAAGATGCGACCCTCTGAGAACTCTGGCTCCGTTGCAGACGATTTGACGCATACGACAGTGGATTGTTGTTGTTTTTTTTTTTCAGATTTGCAGCTTTTCAACAGCAAACCAACAAGGTCGCTAACCTTGTTGGTCACACTTTGACTGAAAAGAGTTAGCAGTGACGGAGACCTCGTCACAAAATACCAACATTCCATACCAACAATACCAGGAGTTCAGATAAAGAAGTGTGACGAACGGTTGTTTTCTAGGTAAACGCTGTCCGTGTAGTTGTAAGCAAACCTTTACGTGCCGAGCTTTGACAATCACTTTGGGCTTAATGGGGAAAACATCAGCAGCTGAAATGATGTTCACCTCCTTCAATTGCCTCGTAGCAGCAGAAGCAAGCAGAAGGTTCAAAAACCTGCTTTAATTCAACAAATACTCGTGTACACTTACTTTCTGGGTGACTGGTTCTATTTTTTTTGTTGTTGTATTTTTTTTTCACCTGCAAAGTTGTGCGTTTCTCTTTTTTTTGTGAAAAAAAGAGAAAAGTCTCGAACAAATGCTTGTCTCGTTTTTTCCATTTGTGTGCTGAGCTTATTCTCCTCCTCATTGTGCTGGAAACCTGGGAACACTGACTCATCTGACCACATGCGCTCCCATGTGCTCCACAGACCACTGCCCTTCTTTGGCGTCGCATCCTCTGCTTTGAAACATTACGACATGGCCGACTGCAGTCGTACCTTTTGGTGTTTTTTTTCCATTTTACAGAATGACACCAGAGTGGTCGAATCTGAATCGGTTTTTGAGGTGCGACCTTCTTTCAAAGACTTTTATCTCTGACGTCGCGACGCGGAAATCGACTTCCAGCATTCAACTGCAACTTGAAAGGTTTACACATGTATCCACTTTAACTTGTACGTGTCGTGTTTATTGTTTCCTTGTTTATACAAATGTGTGCTTCATTTCTGCACAAAAACTGAAAACATCAACTGGAAACCATTATCCGAGGTCATAAGAAAAACGATTCAGACGGAGTCCAAGCAGGCAAAAAAAACAACAACAAAAAAAAACTCTGGATGACTGACACTGAGTGCATAACACTGCCATCACCATACGTTGCACTATTCACTGTAAAGGAAGAAGCTGCGGTGCACTCTGATCTCTGACTGAACAAGCACAATAAATGCAGCCTGCAGGATTCACAAAAGTAGAAACAAAATTGCTGTGTGTGCATGTTTAATGTGTCTGAATATTACTATTAGTCTTGAGAAAATGCAAATGGACATCTATGTCAGATGTTGAGAGTGTATTAATTTTCTTGAATAAAACACGTGGACGGAAGAGGCAGCCTGATATGTTTCTTTTTTGTTCTTGTTTTATTTAATACACATATAGTTCTCATGGCTTTTATTTTGAAATGCATGTCCTCATGGCGGGACAGAAGATCCCCAGCGAGGAAGACAAAATGATCATTTGCAGTTGTGTGTCCATCGCAGAACGCTTGGGTTTTCATGGACGTGGCAGTTTTGTGATTATTCTTTATTTTGCTCCATTTTGTTTCATATTGATGAATGAAAAACCACATCTTGCACTCATACAGCGCACGACAAACTAGTTCTGTAGGGTAAACATCTACATAGTCCTGAAATAATGTTGACGATTTTGAGTGACTTCCTTTTAGCAACCGATTCTGGAAGTTTTTGGGATCTTTGTCCTTTCAGGTGGAAGCATTTAATTCTGTTTCCACAGTATTTTAAAATAATTTGTAGGGAAACATAAAGTGGGCGTTAAAGGTGCAGAATCAGACTGAACTTGTTCTTTAAGAACCAACTGTATTCATACAGAAATCCAAAGTGTATTTCAACGGCTCTCTTGTGTGGCGATCCTCAAGGTTCAGTTCTCGGTCCACTCCTGTTCTTCGCTGTATCCTTCCTCTTTAGAGTCAGCGTTGTGAAGTCATCTCATCTCTTTTCACTCCTATGCAGATGACTATCAGATTTAACTCCCTAGCCAAACAGCCTGCTCTCCATTCGTCTCTTCCACATCGCCTCGATGACGTCAGCAGCTGATTGGTGATAGATTCTCTGAGCTTTAATGACAACAAAGCGCAGGTAATTTTCTTCACACCAAACAATGCGTCACACACTGCTGTTCCTAACGGTGGGGATCTGGAGCTGTACGTTCAGCAACATGTTACAAGTCCAGGTTGTGACCTTGGACTCAGTATGAACAGGACAGTCCATGTATAATGGAAAAGTTTATTTCAAGTATGTCAGGTAGTCTCACTTAAATCATTCTTTGCAAAAGGTGACCTGGAGAAAACAACCCAATTTATGAAAATCAAAACGCGGCTGGATTATGTCAGTGCGCATCAGGCCTTTAGCTGGTCCAGATCGCTGCTCGTCTTTTACCACGATCCCAGCGACTCTGTCTCCTCTCCACTGGGTCTTGGGTGCCAAAGAATTTGTTTTAACATCTGTCTTGTCTTTTAAATACCTTACTGGTCCTTCTCTGACCTGGTCGTGTTTCACCGCTAACCTTTGGGCAAACTCTCCAGCTTCGGTTGGTCGTACCAAAAACCGAACCTCAGAAGAGATCCGGTCTTTTCATTACAGTGGCTCCAATATTATGGAACAAGTAACACGGTTTTTATTTTAGCCATTTCAGTCTTTGCAGTTTGTGTTATTTCTGCTTAGTTTGTCGTTCTATTTGAGTTTTGTTTAGGTCTTTGACTCTTCTGTTTTAGTACAGCACAGCACTTTGATTAAAAAATAGATTCTTTAAATGTGCCTTGTAGGAAAAAACGAAACGGCATCAGTACATTGTTTGAAAATTACGTGACCATTTTTCTGTGACTCATTCTCTTCTTGAAAGACTCAGTGATTACCCAATCTGGTTATGTCAAACAGATTTTTGTTTTTTCACTTTACTGAACTGCAAATAGACAAGAGTCTATTGTGTCTGACTTAAGAGGTCTCTCAAAGCGCTGTGTTTCACAAGCGGCACATAAAGGCACCGTCCTGGGAACAAAAACCTTAGTTTTTGTACCCAGGCCATGGATGTAGGGATATGTTATTAATTCATCAAACCCTTTATAAATCATTATTGACTGTTTGTTACACATCAGTTCAGTGTAAGAAGGAGACAAAATTCTTGCCAAATAGTGAGCCAAACCTGTTTACATGTATTTTTTATCTACAGTTGTTATACTAAACATTTCACACTAACTTGTAAGTAAAATCAGCTTACAATGTAATTTAATATTTTAGCACATAGTCTCCTTCTCATCCTTATTTAATGCATAATACACAGTATAAATGATTTATAAAATGCTTATAGATTAATTGGAAACATTAAACTGTATAGCAATCCATAGAGGAGCCTTATTGCAAACCAGGCCTGAAACACTCCAATATTGACAGAGTAAAGTAATTTAGAGGACCAAAAAAAACAACAAAAAAAAAACAATTTTTCTGAGCTCAAAGCCAAACAATTTATTCTGGTCAAAAATTCACCATGAGGAAATGGACTGGGAAAAGTTTACAACTCCCACCAGATAATTGTTTCACCGCAGGAAGCCAGGTAGTGCCCGGGGTGGGCGGACCCTATTAGTGCGACCGCCCCTGCTGAGGCAACGAGAGGGACGAGAACCCAAATAAAGAGACATGGCGCTTGATTTGCGGCCTGGTTCAGGTCGGGCTGGCCGAGCTGCTCCATCTGCAGCTGGATCTGCTCATCTTTAACTGTAACAGCAAACAGCGGCCCAGTGACAATGTTCAGACCGTGTGTGTGTGTGTGTGTGTGTGTGTGTGGACGGCCTGCCCTCAATTCCTAGTCAGTGAAAAAAAAAAAGCCTTCCTCATTAAAAATAAAAGCACTTCCTCCACCGCAGCTGCCGCTTCTTCTTCTGCTGCTGCTGTGACCAGATGAAACCCACTCCACGCCCGACCAGAGCGACAACATCCACTCTGATCGGAGAGGGGATTTTTAGACGCTGCGAGCTCTGGAGGAGGAACAAGCGGGAGATATGAGCGTCCAGCGGGGGAAGAGACGGTAGAGCCGCCGGGGTATGAGAGAGAGAGGGAGAGGACGAGAGAGAGAGAGAGGGGCGCGGTGAAGTTCGCTGGAAATTCGGACTGGTCTGGATAAATCGGCTCTCCTCGATTTTGTCTCTTTCCTTTTTCTTCTTCTTCAGCGATTTGGAGTCAGAGTTGATAACTTGTGAAGGAGTAATGGTGGAGCTTCCTCAGCGCGGTTTCCCTGCAGGTATCGATGCTTCTGGCACTTATTGTTTACATGTTGCTCACATTCCATCTGCTTTCTGTTTGCTGGTTCTTCTTGTTACCTCCCCTGTAATGCCTCTCTCTTACCGCCTCCTCCCCCCCTCCACATACACACACACCTCCACCCCCCCCCCCCACACCCCACACACACACACACACACACATGCACACTCTCGGATCTTTATCTGTCTCCTCTCCTCCTCTGGAACAGGAAGAAACCGGGCCGTGGAGGGCAGGAGCCCCTGAGATGACGATCCATCACGGCACGCTGCTCTGTCTGGGCGTCCTGCTGATGACCTCTGGAGGAATCATGATCTTCAGCTCTGGGACGGCGTACCCAAGTACCATCCCTCTGATGGTACTTGGGATTTTTCTGGGCATGGGGGGTCTGAGCGTGATGGTGGCAGGAGTTTGCATGGCTAAGAAGAATTTACAGGTGGGAGTGCCTGGACACTTCCTCCTGCACCCCCCCACCGGCACACGCTTCAGCCCGCAGCAGGCCCTGGCCATACAAAGGTAAATGCTCCTGAAGGTGACAGCAGTGAGGAAAGGGGGAGGGGTGGGGGGGTCAGTGTCTTGGAGGGTGTTTTTTGGGGTGAAGTGGTGGTTCACAACTTGGGGGAGTTAAGGGATAAAACAAAAGGATAGCTCAGAAATAAGTCAAAATAAAGAACTTTTTTTATTTTTTTATTCTACTTTATAAAAACACAACATGCTGTTTTGATTTAGAGACTTTTGACAATTGGGCCCAGAGACAGACTTGTAAAAAATGTGAGTGAATTGTGTGAAGGGTTTCAACATGATCCCAGGATCCCAACATGCTCACCTTGCTTATCGTCAGCAGTTTAGTGGCGCATGTTCTCCCTCTTAAGTTACAGCGTTGGTATGCATTCGTTGGCCGGTCAACGAAACAACCCGCTGCACTGGTGGGGAAGGGAGTCAGGGCAACCTTGCTGATTTAAAAAAAAAAAAAAAAACATGAAGCTTTCGTTCATCACTCGCATGTTTTAGTATCAGACAAAAGTCACCCAATGACTACAGAATACAGTTTTCTTTTGTTTGAAGGAACAAAAAGTGACACAAACCAACATGGCTGTGAAAATTTTAATTTGTGATGAACCACGTACAAAGTAAGCGTAAACAATAAAAGCTCAAGATTTTATTTAAAAAGGGCCAACAAACAAACAGATAAGAAAATCTTTGACATCTGTCGGTCTGGAAAGGGTTACAAACCCATATCGATTGCTTTAGGATTTCAGTCAACAGCACTTTGAGTCATTATCCCTCAAAGAAAAGAAAATACTGTCTGGAAGAAAATGGCGGAATCTCAGGAAGTTCTTACTAAAAAAAACACGAATGACTTCCCATTATTAGCCAAGAAAAACCCAATGATCCCCAAGGATTTTGAAAAATATTCAGCAGACAAATGAGACAAAATTAACATTTTTGGAGGGTGTGCGTCTCAGCATTTCATGAATATCACTCGCTGTCAAACACAGTGGTGTCAGTACGATGATTTGGGCTTTCTCTGCTGCTGCTGGACCGCAGCCACTTGTTCAAAGTGATGAAACCATGAATCCTGTTCTCAAGGAGAAAAGCTCGACGTCAACCAAACGTGGGTTATGCAGCAGAACGATGATCCTGAGAGGCTCAATAAACATTACTCCAAATAATGTATTTTGAGTGGCTTAGCCTAAGGGTGGGTTTTATGTCTTGCGTGATCTACAACCGAATGAAAACAATCTAATAGACTTATTGCTGGTTTTCGCAAAGACTGATGTCGTTTGATTGCAGATTTGCTCCCAAGTGTGGCAGAAGCAGATCTTAAGAGGCAGTAACTTTTAAACAAATATGGTGTCATGTTAGTTTTTTTTCCCTCAACAAATAAGATCAACTTTTACAGAGAATGGCTACCTTTCTGGTACCTGTCTGCATGCCAGAAATTATTATTCTAAATAATAATATTACAGAAATAATATCAGGATAAAGGATGAACTGTTCAGGAGTCCGCTGGAGCCGACATCTCATGCCAGTAACTCTGTAGCGACACTGAAGTAACAGTGTAGCGTTCTGGCTAAAATTACCACAACAGAAAACCTTGTATTCTTTATTGTAGGGCTTCACCTGATCGTCACACACACAATTCTTCTACTACTAAAACCCTTTCCTACAAATACCTGCACATATTTGATAACCTGACCAAACTATTCATGTTAAAACTCCAAAAAAGTGTAGCCAACCTGATTGGTTTAATGTGTATTTTGTTCAGAATTATTATATGTCAATATATATTATAAATGGATCTATTATCTTGTAAAAAATAATGGAATCCAATTTCCCACGTTGTTTTTTTGTTTGTTTTTTTAGTAAATTGCTTACTATTGTTTATTTTCTTGAATAAGAAAAGGAAATGCAGCTTTTTCTTTTCTAAAATGAGTTTTTTATTGAAAACGTGCGTCCCAAAAGTTGCTGGTTGTTTTCGGTGGCCCTATTTACAATTCAATTCAATAAAATGAAAGCTCATAAAAATTCAGAGTCCATCTGCATCAACAGGAGAACCAGATTTGTAGCCGGCGCGCTGCGCCAATTTAAGGCGTTCTGGCACTATTCGGGAAGTTTCTGTTTCGGATCAAAACAGGAAGTTCTCACCGCGTCTCTGGCGTGTTCCCACCAGGAGGCTGGACCGAATCCGCCGGGAAATGTCGACGGACGCCGTCAGCACTTCGCCGGAGCCCGAGCCGTCCCTGCCGTCCACCCCGCCGCCCTGGACCATGGAGCCGCCGCCGTCGTACGACACGGTGATGAAGAGCCAGCACATAAACTGGGAGGCGAACCAGGAGCACGGCGAAGAGCCCAACTACGAGCACAACGAACAGCAACTTCCTGAACACACTGAATGTACAAACCAAGATGGCAGCCAGCAAGTTTAAACTGGGTCCTCCGGTGCCTACTGTTCTTCGAAGCGAGAGCTTTGTCTGAACTCACAGCTGCAAACCTCCTCGGTGCCTTGAAATCGACCAATCGAGACTCGACTTTAGCTCAGGCGTCCTGTGGACGGTTGGGCCGTCACAAAGACAGGAGTGGAAGTCAAACTGTTGTCAGGGAAAGTTGGTGTCGTCTTGTCTTTACTTGTAAACACGAGAAACTTCAGTTTTATATATCAGCAGCATACGTATGTTAAAGCGCATATCTTGTTTTTAATTCACTAGAGCCTGCAACCCATATCCAGTGTTATGTTATCTCAATCCGCCACCATGTCCTTTATTTTATGCAGTTATCCAATTATTTATGTTTTTTTCTCTTTTCCTCCCCTTTTGCTGCTTCATTCTGGCCTGGTATGAAAAGCGACCAAAGTCTTGATGAAAAATGTCAGGATTTTTCAGAAAGGGAGAAAAAAAAAAACAGAAAAAGAAAGAATGATAAACACTTTCCAGAAGAACAGAGTAGAAAAACTACCTTTGTTGTCAGGTGCAGAATCAAGAGGTTCAAAACGATATATGAAAAACAAACTTTAAGATTTAAGTATTTCCTGTATATTTCAGGCACAAAAAAAAAATCTGTGAAAGAAGGGCATATAGAAAAGTGCAATAACCTTAAAGTGATTCTGTGTTGAAAATAAAAGCCCTGACCCATTTTAAAGGGGAAGTGTACAGGAAGTGGGTTGCATCTTGCCAGTAGAGCAGAGGACTCCATTCTTAGCTGACCCATTAAACTGAAGGCCTGGACGGATTCTCCTGTGTGCAACTGATCAGATTCACCAAAAAAAATAAATAAAAAGAGCTAAAGTTAGTTATTTTTTATAGAGATTTTAAGAAATCATCCACTTGTATTAAAAATGTTTTTTAAACAACTTCTTTTAGGCTGAAAGATGAAAGTATCACATGTATAAGGGTTAGGGTTAGGGTGCTCTGAGAACAGGATGAAGATATGCTTTGGTTGTCATCAGATAAGCCAGTTTCTAATGTAAGACAATAAAGGATCTTTTCATAATACTTTCTAGGATTTCTGGTATTAATTGTTTACAATATTTGTGTACATTAGTCATGGATTTTCTTGCCTCAGTAAATCCACAGGTACATGTTTGCTAACTTTTCCCTGGGAGGAACAGGTTAAATCACGTTTATGTTGCCGTTTCGGTCTCGTTGATTCTCTTTAGCGTGAAGTTAATTTTGCACTATTAAGGATTAATTACAGGTAGAAGTTTTGCATTTATTAGTGTATAGGAGTATAATCTTGGGAGATATTGAGTTCTTGTTGGAACAACTTGTTAATAACTAAAAATGTGTCAAAAACCTTCTCCTCCCCCCTCCAGGCACCAATTAGCACGTTTTGAGCTTTTCTGGGACGCTGCACATTTTACATAATAGTTGAGCGCAAAGCCGCTGATCATGTTAAGCCTGAAGTGATTAACATCGCATCCCCGACAGATTTAGGTTTGGTGTCATCTTTTAATTTCGCCAGCATGTTTCTGCTGACTGGAGTTGATATTAATATTATGAAGTGAGCCAACCAGAGTGTTCACTGGAAACTCGTAGAGAATCTGCAGAGAGAGCTGAAGATCAGGGTGGCGGCAAGGAGGCCCTCCAAAATGAAGATCGCAAAAATACAAAACATTCATACAAATACAAGAGACCACTTAAAATAATCAGTTTCTCTGAGTTTACTTTTTGTAAGTTTGTGTTTGAGTGAAATGAACATTATTCTCTTATTCGGTGAACGACTGACAACATGTCTCTGAAATTCCAAGTTCAGCATTTATTTGCAGAAAGTGAGAAATGGTGAAAGTAAGAAAAAAGATTAGGCGTTTTCAGACCTCAGATAATGCAAAGAAAACAAGTTGATATTCATTTAGAAACAAAGCAGTACTAATGTTTTGACTCAGAAATCAATATTTGGTGGAATAACCAGGAGGTTTTCAGTGGGCTTTTCATATTTGTTTCCAGAGCTGTTTGTCTGCATGTGTGACTATTTTTTTTTACATTTTTTTGTGTAAACCTGCCAAGTGTACAAATAGCCAGCACATATATAAATTTTAATTTTATAAATCTTTTATTTGTTGTTTTTTACATTTATTTCCTGATTGCCCTGTACGTTTTTCTATGAGAGAAACATGACTGCAACATTTTCAAGAAGCAGGCCACAGGGGACTGCCACTGTTAACCGTATACTCGTCATCATGTGGTTCATCATTCAATGGGCAAATAGCAAAGTGTTTTCAGTGGCTCAGGAAAGACGTGCAAAAATTCACTTCTAAAGCGAATCTAAACATTAGCTAAAACCGACTGGGATCGTAATAAAACTCCAAACGCTAATGGTTTTACTATGTCTTGCTAATACATTTCATTTTGTTGGATCCCAAGTCAGCAGACTGATGCCGGCCTCTTCTCGACACCAAATTGGGGAATCCTCCTAACCTGTTGGAATCCATGTGACTCCTGCACTGGAGAGCAGTGACAGCAGAATGCTAACAGTGCATCGTTAGCGATTGCTCACGGTTTGCAGGCTGCCTGCTGTTCGTTTCGTTGTGACATCACCATAAACGAGCTAAGAAACAGCTGAGCAGCTTTGTAACGCTGGTATCGACTGCTAGGAAGCTGTTTATTCAGAGGAAGGAAATCCCTTAAGAGGAGGAAACAGGAGGATGGCTGTAAACCAATCAAACACCGACAGCCGACTGGGCAGTGGCCTCACAAGCTGAGATTTTATTTAGCTTTCTTTTTTTTCTTAACACAGCAGCCTGAAGCAAGGTGACCTTTCAGGTACAGACACACACCTGCAATTTTATACCTGACCTGAGCAGCGTGTCTGCAGGCTGTAATAAGCAGCCGAGTGGAACCACCACTGCAGTTTCTCCACCTTCACCTTCAAGCTCTGTCACACAAAGAGTCCACTAAATCTTACCCCAGCCCCCATCATGCTTCGAGTCAGCGCACGCCTGTGGGCTGCAGCAGAAGTTCACAGCGATGGCGAAGGGGAAGCCTTATCGGTACGGACTCATAGTGGCCGGCCTCTCGGTGGTTGCCGCGGGTCTGTTCCTCATGATGCAGGAGCGCCCGCACATCTACGTGACGATGTGCGTCGTCGGGGTCACCATGGTCTGTGCTGGGACAGTGTGGAGCCTCTGCCAGTGCTATCCCAAGGTCAGAGTCGGGTAATGCCGAGTTACATTTACTCAATTAGGTTTGCTTTAGTAACTTTTGTTTTGTGGGGGTGGATGCACTTCCAGGAGTATTTTTACTATGCCGTGCTTTTTATTTTTACTTGAGTAATTTTATTATGAACCATTGCTGCTCTTGCTTGAGTAAAGTCCCTGGATTCTCTACCCACAATAAGTAACTTCTCTGAATGAAGAGCAAGCTTGTTCTAACCAAACCCACCAGACACAAACACACTCCTGGAGTATTTGTTGAAGATTCATAAATCGGTCCACTTAACAATAATGCTTGTAGATATGTTATTAACTGCGACGGACTGGCGACCTGAACAGGGTAGCTGGAGATAGGCACCAACTTGACCTCCTGACCCCACGAGGGACAAGGGTGTTAGAAAATGGATGTATGGATATGTTATTAATTTATCTCTAAGCACTTTATAGATAATTAATAACTGTTTGTTACACATCAGTTAAGGGTAAGAAGGAGACAAACCTGTTGACCTGTATGTTTTATCTACAGATATTATACTAAACATTTCAGATTAACTTGTAAGAACAATCACCATTTGTAAATGTAATATTTTAGCACAGTCTCCTTCTCATTATTATTTAATGCATAATAAACAGTTATTAATGATTTTTAAATTGCTCATAGATTAATTGGTAACATATGTATAAACTATTTATTAGTTTAGAGGAGCCTTATTGTAAAGCGTTACATGTAAGTTCCCCTTTTTTTTTGTAATTATGCAACTTAAAAATAGATCTAATTATCAACATTTCCACTTATTTGTCTTTATGTTTTGGTCCATCTGATGATGTCATTTTTTTAATATTAAATGACTGATATTCTGGTTGATACTTGAGTAGGTTTTTTTTTTCTTTTTTATTCTTTCTTGAGTAATTTCTTGAATGGGTACTTTTACTTTCACTAGAGTAAAAGAAAAAACACGTTGAAATAGTGCTGCTACTTTTTGCGGCATTCTCCCCGCATCCGCCTGAAGAAGACTGAGAGTTTTTGACATGCAGGATGTACCAGAGCGAGGTTTTGTAAACAATGGTGTGTTCGTCAGATCGTCGTGTCGCCCGTGATTCAGAAGGACAGCCTGGAGGATCTGATGTGCTCTGCCAGAGATGAGAGGTACCGTCTTAACACACGCACACAGCATGTTATCTGGGTCTTACCGATTCCCTGTGCTCCGTCTGCTGAGTACCCGTCAGCCGGTCTGAACGCGGTGACAGCAGCAGAGTCCCAGGGGAGAGCAGAGGATGGGTCTCCATTATAATATTAAGCCTGAAGACATAAAAACTTTCAGTCTCACATGTTTGAACATGAGGAACATTATAGTCCTTCATGTGGGAGCCGTGTTGTTACAAAATGTCATTTGTTTTCAGAATTACAATTTTGACACTTAAGTTACAAATTGAGCAGCAATTTATAGCCAGTAGCTAATTAAATCAAGAATCCCCAATTAGCAGCCGCACCAGTTTACGCATTCTGAAAAATTAGGGTTGAGATGCAAAACTAAGAGCAAATGAAAACAAACCAAACTTTTCATTTTGGCATTTTAAGAAATGTATTTATCCTCCTTGGTCACACACTGATGTGGGACGGCGTCCTAACCGGCGTTTGCTGTAGGTCAGCAAAGTATGCTTGAGGCGGTCAGTCTGGTACAAAGGGTGCCCCCAAACTGAAACTGATTCCACAAGTTTTTGTTGGGCTGGAGGTCACAATAATCAATAAATCAATCAATCGCATGATAAATCAAAACAAACTCACATATCTTTATTGGCTTGATTTATGGTTTATCTCTTTTTATCTCTCTTTCTACCAAAAACTGGAAAATGAAAGCCTTCAGTTTGGTGTTTGGGTCTCAACTGAAGTTTGTTTACAAAGACTCCAAAAATCATTTTATTTGTTGTTTTGTTTATTTATTTTGGATGTTTAAAACGTCTTCCAGGTATAGTGTCAAAATGTCCGTTAGGAGTTAAAGTTTGCTAATCTTTTACAATGTGCTCTTGCATTATTATTTTTGCTGTGACCATCATGTTACTTAAAAATGGTCTCAAAACAACAATATTATCGTTTACCACAATAACCTCTGGAACAATTTATCGTGTAGTCAAATTATCTTGACACGCTCAACTCACATTACCTCACAAAATGTGGCATCACTTAAGGGGACCAACAGTATAAAATGTATTACAAAGACGTATTGTTACCAAAAAAGGAACAAAAATTAACAGATTTCCTTGTGTTTTGTGTTAGATTCCAGAGAAACTGTATTATTAGCTGAGCAGAGGCTTCATCGTCTCTTCCTGTTTGATTTTTTTGACCCGTCTTAATTTAAGGACACGTGTAGAGGATACAGGAAGGACGGTCGAAACCCAGGGGTGGAAAAAAAAACCTTTCGGGTTGATCGACTTCCCATCCCAGGATGCAACCCAATCAGAAAATCAAACTCCCTGCTTTGACCCGAGTCGTATTGTGTCTCACTGAAGCGAATCGGACTCTGACTGGTTAACTGAGACCAGACGGAACCGTCTCGTTCCCAGCTCTGTTGACAGACGGAGTCTCAGCACAACAGCTGCCTGGACCAGCCTGAAGGTCGTTCTGTGGGAAGGAGTCAGAGGCCGTCAAGTCTGGCACAAACTGTCTTCTCACTTTGAATCGTTCCTGAACTAAATCAGACACCAAGGAAGGGAAGAAAAAAAAACCAACAAAGTTTCAGTGATGCTGAAGGGAAACTTTGCGAGAAAATTAGACGTTAAGGAAAAACAAAGAGAACCGCGGGACAGCTCAATCGAGTTGATCAGGGTTGATAAATAAATTTGACTGGACTTCCTCCGGGTGTGTGTTTCAGTTTCTCCAGGTTCTGTTGAGTGGAAAATAGAAACGACCCGTAAAGTGATGTGACGTCATCACTTTACGACCCAGATGTTACGGTTAGGTTTTCAGGGACATGTGGTTCCAAAATACAAATAGACAATATAATCCATCCAGAAAGCAGCAGTCTGATTTACACGCTACAGCCAGGGTGTTCAACGTAAGGCCCGGGGGCCGTCTGCAGCCCCTGAACTGATTTTAGGAAAAAAATTTTAAATAAATTAGGACAAAACCATGAGGTCGACAACATTTTTCCCACGTTTTCTGCTTTTCTTATATTTTCACGGTAAATGCTCGTTGACTTATACTCAAATATCTAGAAGATCCTGTTATTTTTGTGTGTTTACTTTTTTCAGAATAGATCAAATATTTTTTTCAGTTTTCTTCAAACGAGCCCGAAACATTATGCAAACTTGATGCCTTACATTAACATGGGAATAAAAAAGTACACTGCAATTAAACACGGTTCAGCAACCATCTTTGAGCTAATAAGGAGAATGTCGTTAGCTCTTTTCTGCTCAGGCCTTGTTGAAAAGCGGCTAAATTGACCACAAAAAAAAAAAAAGATTTAATAACAGATCATATCTACGCGCTGCAGACGTTCATTTTATCGTCTTCAAGTTATGCTGGGCTAGAAAGCGGCTCTCAGGAGCGGGAACAGAAGCGATAGCGCCGCGACATTTGTGACCGAGGAGGATGGAGTCCGCTGGTCGCGCGAGAGCAGAGGAGCGACAACGATCTCCTGATTGAAGCGCTCGAGCCAGAAAACGAGACTCTCGCGCGTCTCCCGCTGCCTGAGCGCGTCTGTAATTACCGGGCTGCTTGATAAAGACATGCCGGCTCAGCAAAAGCTCCAATTCAGAGAGTTAGAAAGAAAGAAAGTAAGAAAACAGGGTCAGTGTGATGAAACTGGCCTTCTATTCCTATCCCTCCTCCTCTTCCTCCCTCTTCATCTTCTACGCTTTGTTTTCAGGCGCGCCGGGTGTCCGCCGGGTTCCTCGGACGGCGTGGCGACGAATGAGAGCCGCAGCTGTCCCACACTGCATCTGGTCTGAACCCAGCAAACTCCACTGGCTGCAAAAAAACACCAGCCACTCAGGACTGAGGCCCAATGATGGAACCAGCAACACAAATGTGCCATATATCTACCAGAACAGGTCTCGTGCTGCTGTCGACAGGAAGTTGTACTACGTGAGTCGGTTCTGTTGTCATGGGAAATGATTTAATGAACGTGCTTTACACGCTCGTCCCAGCAGATGGCGCTGTTTACAGCGAAAAAGAAGGATTTGCGTTATTATTATTATTATTCCACCTGAAGAACTGTGTGTGTGTGTGTCTGCGTGTGCGTGTGTTTTTAAATACATTTCCAAAAATTGTTTTTTTGAGACTCATTGATGCTTCAAATAAAAGTTTCCAGTGGTGAAATGCAAATAATAATAATAATAATGATAACACAAATGTTTGAAAAACATTTGTTCTCCATCCTTGTTAAACACACAAGTCTGGATTTGAAAAAAGAGTCGCGATTCTTTCAGCCCTGAATTGTAATACAAGAGTAGACCATATTTTTAATATTAAATTCAAAGTTGTCAAAGTGGGGAGTTTTCCCTTAAACAGATGTGAGTTCTTTGACAGCTGTGCATGAAATCCAACCTATTTATAACTCCATTTTGTTCAAATCCAGCATTGATGATGGATTTTTTTTTCTCTCCAACAAATTTCATAAGATCTTTCGATCTGTTTAATATTTGCTTTTAAAGAAATCGCAGATGTCTGCCAGTCGCAGCCCAACGAAGCAAACGCAATCCTCAGAGCCCAACTGAGCATCAGAAGGTTTCGAGCAAAACCTTCTTGTCCTTGAGCTCAAGTAGAGCTTACCGGTCGAAATGTGTGAAATTTAAATGCTAAGAGAAATAAATGCGTCGCACTGTTGTCTTGCAGCAAGAAGGTCCAGGGTTCAATTCCCGGCCCGGAGTTTGCATGTTCTCCCTGTGCATACGTGGATTCTCTCCAGGTACTCCGGCTTCGTCCCGCAGTCCAAAAACATGACAGTCAGGTCAATTGGTGTCTCTAAATCAGTTTCCATTCTGACTTTGAAAAGAGGAATAAAAGTCTCATGTAGATAAAAATAAAAAATAAAATGATCCCAAAAGAGACTCCAATGTATATTCAGGTCAAAAGCGATACAGCCATTCCCTCCAGCAAGATCAGGGCTCTGTGCTGGGATTCCCTGGGTGGGATTCTGAGCTGATGTGCAGCTTTCGGACCGCTAGAGGGCAGTGTCCATATTGTATAACCTTCATGTCGGATGTGTTCACTAACGCTGCAGCTTCATTTAGGGCCATCAGAGTAAAGCAGGGGTTCCAAAGGCACGACACACTTTTAAGATTTATCTTTGCAAAATATGTCACAACATGTTTGACTTTCCTTCCACTTGTCATACATGCAGTACTTGCTGTTCACTTAGCACACGAAATTAAACGGAATAAGTCTGTTGCCTATATTGTTCGAAAGGCAACATTACAAATCAACAAAATGAGAAAACTTGTGCGGCAACACGCAGTTCGCCGTAAAGCAGCGTCAAGCAAGTTGTTTATTTTTTTTGATCGATCACGGAGGAGCGTGAAACATGACTCCTCCACAGAAAGAGCCGCTTTTGACGGAGGACAATCATTCGATACAAAAGAGGTGGCGTGAAACGCGGGGACGTCACCAGTCCCCGCCTTAAATGATAAAAATCAATTCTTCGATTTTTTTTTTTTAAATCAGAGCAGATGGTTGGAGGTTGTCATCAGACTGTTTGGCACGCAGGACGCGCAGCAGCCCCACGGGGAGGGGGGTACACACCGACAACATCTGCAGAAGTCAGACTGAAATAAAAACTCTCATCAGGGATTTTCTTCTGAAATATTTACAATTATATAGACATAAAGATAAATTAAAGAAAAGAAAGAAGAAAACGAGGTGTGCAGAATGCGTCCGGTTTCTGGATGGATCGGCTGGGCGCTGTGTTTGTGCGCATTATGCGCGGCGGTGAGCGCGCAGGACCGAGCTGAGGACGACGAGACGGTCCTGGATCTGATCCGCGACGGCGGCTGCGACGACGACGACGGGCTTCAGCCTGGACCCGGAGGAGAGCCAGCCGCAGAGTTCCTCAAGTGCAACAAGGTAAAGAAAGACGCGCTGGCGGCGCGGCGTCAGCCAGAAACCAAGCCGTCTCTCAGTGACACCAAGTCATCTAAAAAGAAAAAAAAAAAGTGCAGCGGAGTCATGCAGACATCATCATCGTCATCGTTATTATCATCACCTGTGTTGCCCTGCAGGCGGCTTGGCGCATGCCCGGTCAGTACCTGGTCGTCCTGCACCAAGGGACGCACGAGTCTCAGGTTCTGCGGACCGTCAGGAGGCTGAGAGCCAGAGCCGCCCGGAGAGGAGACCCGCTGGAGGTCCTGCAGACCTACTCTGGAGTTCTGCAGGGCTTTCTGGTTAAAATGAGCCACGATGTGCTTCACCTGGTAAATAAATACTCTACCTAACAGCAATAGCCTTTTAAAATCAGCCCTGATTGCCAATTGTCTGCGGTTTATTATAAGAGGTTAATGCACACAAGAGAATATCAACAAATAGATATCTAATAAAAGGAGTAAAATTGCACGGATTATCTTGTTCCAAGTGCAACAATGAGAGGGTCAGCTGATGCTAACAACACCGCCGACCCCAAAATGCATCAGATCATAAAAAAAAAAACTACAAATGTTTTAAGTGTGGGATCCTTAACTGCTGCAGTTTTGGCACCATGCATGGAGTTTTCATGAGGAAAATCATTTCCGTTTTACCAGAATCACGTTAACCTTTCATTTACACAGTTTTTATGCTTCTGTACTTCAAACTGACAACTGAGATTGATTTCTGAACCATCGCTCTTACTGCCGGTCACTTAATGGAGGAGATTACAGAAGTTTTTCCATGTCAACGGAGCAGGTTTCTGTAAAAGTGAAGATAATCTCTGTTCGACCAAAACATCTATCCTTCTGTCCGTCCATCCCACAGCAGAGTCAGAATCCTTTCGACCTCTCTGACATTTGCAGTGAAGTTATAAACACAAAAGTCAACAACAAACCATTGTAGGTCACGGTTTTATCATGACCTTTCATACAAAACACCCAGGGAAAAGCAGAAAGTGCTTAAAACATCCGTCTAGATTAAGCGTCTGGTGCAAAAATAGGAGCGAATAAGAAAATAACTATTATAATTACTTTCACCCGTATAAGTCACAATTGCTGCTTAACAAGTATGGATTTATGTTTCACAATGCAGGTCATTGGCAAATACTGTAGCAGCTAGTTTGATCATTAGTGGAAATAACCACCAGAGATCTTCATGGTAAAACCCTCAAAATCACTCTCTTATTTTTTTGAAGTTGTTTAAACATCAAAAACAAAATTATGTTTAAGATTATATGTCAATCAATCAATCAATCAATCAATCAATCAATCAATCAAATATTTATTCCAAGATCAATAATAAAAATGTGAAACAAACAAGATAATATTAATACAATAAAAATAAACAAGGTGCTTCACAGCAGGCCTGGGTCAAAGTTCAGCCAACTTCACCTTTGATTGTAGTATTCTGATCAGAAATGTAAATAAGAAGCGCAGTTCAGTAGATTCTGTTTCACTTTCGGTCTGAAAAGTCCTCTGAGGTTTTCTATAACCAGCTGACCTGTCTCGCATCATGGTTACTCAAGTACACCTGGTCTGGTTACCTTTTAAGGAGAACGGAGCGCATTGGGATCTTGGGAGCCTTAAAACTTCCCATCACAAAAAAAAAAAAAAAACCCAAAAAACTACAATTTACAAAAGAAGAAGAAAAAAAGACCTTAAATATATTTACTGTAATAAACTGGTGAACTATCTGGGATGAACCAGCCCCACCATGACCCTGCGATGCATGGATGGATATTTACCCCACAGAAAATTAATAAAGTAGCACTGAGTGTTCAGCAGACTGTCAAATGCTTAATATTAATCCTTAATTAAATTACCTCTATCGCCGGCATCTCTAAGTTGTTTGAAACATTTGATAAAATATGATCGCTCTAAAGTGCACTATGTGTTTTTCCCCCCCTACTTCTGGTCGTTCTCCTGTCAGGCATTGAAGCTTCCTCATGTCCAATACGTAGAGGAAGATTCATCCATCTTTGCCCAGAGCGCCCCCTGGAACCTGCAGAGATTACTGCGGCCTCACGGTGGCATCTCACTAAACGGGACGTACCTGCCTCCGAGTGAGTCTCCGTCTGCTTCCACCAATTTATACAGTTAGGGCCAGAAATATTTGGACAGTGACACAGGTTTTGTTATTTTAGCTGTTGACAAAAATATGTTCAGAAATACAATTTATATATAGTATGGGCTGAAAGTGCACACTCCCAGCTGCAATATGAGAGTTTCCACATCCAAATTGGAGAAAGGGTTTAGGAATCATAGCTCTGTAATGCAGAGCCTCCTCTTTTTCAAGGGACCAAAAGTAATTGGACAATGGACTCTAAAGGCTGCAATTAACTCAAAAGGCCTTTCCCTCGTTAACCTGTAATCAAGTAAGTAGTTAAAAGGTCTGGGGTTGTTTCCAGGTGTGTGGTTTTGCATTTGGAAGCTGTTGCTGTGACCAGACAACATGCGGTCAAAGGAGCTCTCAATTGAGGTGAAGCAGAACATCCTGAGGCTGAAAAAAAAGAAAAAATCCATCAGAGAGATGGCAGACATGCTTGGAGTAGCAAAATCAACAGTCGGGTACATTCTGAGGAAAAAGGAATTGACTGGTGAGCTTGGGAACTCAAAAAGGCCTGGGCGTCCACGGAAGACAACGGTGGTGGATGATCGCCGCATACTTCCTTTGGTGAAGAAGAACCCGTTCACAACATCAACTGAGGTCCAGAACACTCTCAGGGAAGTAGGTGTATCTGTCTCTAAGTAAACAGTAAAGAGAAGACTCCATGAAAGCAAATACAAAGGGTTCACATGTAGATGCAAACCATTCATCAATTCCAAAAATAGACAGGCCAGAGTTAAATTTGCCCAAAAACACCTCAAGAAGCCAGCCCAGTTCTGGAAAAGTATTCTATGGACAGATGAGACAAAGATCAACCTGTACCAGAATGATGGGAAGAAAAAAGTTTGGAGAAGAAAGGGAACGGCACATGATCCAAGGCACACCACATCCTCTGTAAAACATGGTGGAGGCAACGTGATGGCATGGGCATGCATGGCTTTCAATGGCACTGGGTCACTTGTGTTTATTGATGACATAACAGCAGACAAGAGTAGCCGGATGAATTCTGAAGTGTACCGGGATATACTGTCAGCCCAGATTCAGC